AGCTCCAACAACAAAAACCAAAATTCAAAAAACATGTAACAAAGTCAAGAAACTGAGATGGTGTATCAGAGGTAAGAGACTTCCACTCTACTTAGAAGCCATGGTCAAAACAGCCACACAAGCCATCTGCAAAAAAAAACACAAGCAAAGATAATACATCAGCTTCTTCTAATGAGTAAATTTCTTCAATCATTCTTTACCTCTCTAAGACCAGGCAACTCTTCATGTAAATAATTTGTACATGATATGGAATCAACAAACACGTGTTACAACATGAATGGCTCTCTGATCAAAAACAGAGAAGAATCAACCCCAAAGCAAAGTCAGAAACAACAACACAAGGAGAAACACATGACATTTACATAATACATTGCATATAGTGAATCTAAGCTTGAGGTTTGCTCATTCTCTAATTCATCCCACTTCCACCGTACACGTGTCCTTGATAATGATGCCCCATCCCATACATCCCTCCTCCTCCTCCTTCCTTATCGCCCTGTCTCCCTGTACTCGTCGTCGTCATCCTCTCCCCTTCCACCTCTCTATACTTCTGCAAATAAACCTTCAACGGCTCCACGTAATCCTCGAACCCCAACGTCGTCATCGCCCAGAGCAAATCGTCGCCGTTGATCGTCTTCCTCTTCTCTCTCTGACACTTGTCCGACGCCTCTCCCGTGATGAAGCTTATGAACTCCGAAACGCACTCCTGCACCGTCTCCTTCGCGTCCTTCGAGATCTTCGCGTTCGCCGGGAGCGCTTTCTTCATGATCCGGCTCACGTTAGCGATCGGGAGGAATCGGTCCTGCTCGCGCGACGACGCGCTGCCTCCGTCCTTGTGACCGCCTGAGTCGTTATCGGAATCCGCCATTAGATAGAGAGAGAGGGGTTTGGGTCCGTTGGATCGAGAAGGATAATGGAATCGGATCGTGATGACACGTGAGTTGTTATTAGTCGTTCGTTTTGTCGATGATATTAGGCACACGTGGCTGTGATTAGAGTCGTTGGATAGAAAGAGGGAACTTGAGATCTGGCGGTGTGGTTATCCACCACGTAGTTGGTTGTAAATACAAAGTGGAGGATCTTTTGATGATCCTTACCTTGTCTCCAAAATATTTTGGTGATTTGCTAATGTTTTTACTAATCTCTAGTTAGTGAGTGTGATTTATTTACTATTAATCCCTTTATTATTATTTGAGGAAGGGACATTAGCTACCATCAGTACCTGGGGATCCAACATGAGTTTTCTGCATTGTACTTATGGTTGGCGAACAAATGTAAGATCTGTCACAAGAACATGACATAAATAGAAGAAGTGGTTTCTTAAAGTGTTTTCCATAAGCTTTTGCACTTGCAGCTGCTTTATATTCACGTTCAATTTCTTCCTGATTTATTTATGACTGGTTAAGGATTTATTCTTGATGAGTTAAAAAATTTTTTTTGAAAGGTTCATAATATTTTTTTAAAAGGATTTAGAAACAAGTACAAATATTTTTGTGAAGGGTTCAATCTTTTTTTCTTAAAACGTAGAAATATTTTTTGTAAGGTTGAAAACTGAATAAAGGTTCAAAATTTATTTCTGAACAGTTCAGAATTTAAAGGTTCAGAATTTATTTTTGAAAATGTGAGAAACATTTTTCTAAGAGTTCAAAATTGATTTCTAAAACCGTAGAATTGTGCTCTCTCATTCAATGATGTTTGATATTTCAAGAGTTATCTATCAGTTTACTATGAATATAATCAGTGAGTTATCCGATGAACTGGATCTAACAACTTAATCTTTTTTTTTTTTTTTTTATAACACTAAGAGAGTACAAGGTTCGTCGAAACGAAAAAATGATACAAAAGACATAAAAAAGACAAAGAAATAAGATGTCAGAAGACACCATCAAAGAGGGAAAAGAGGAGGAGCTTACAAACCCTTTCTTACACTGCCTCCAAAGCGAGTAAGTGATGAAGCCACGATGGAGCATTCCGNGACGGATGTGGCTGAGGCTGAGATTTCCATTTGGATTCATACAAGCGTCATGTAAGCACTCCGAGGAAGTCTCCAAAATGATATTCGAGAAATGTAAGTTGTGCAAGCATTCCACTGCCCAAAAAAGAGCCCACATGTCGGCCTCGGTTTTTGTACGCATGTAGGAATAGGCCCGGCGGCTATGCATGATCGTGTTTCCCTTAGCATCGCGGAGAATCCATGCTGCACCACTCGGCTGATTTGGATTAATCCATGAGGATCCCACATTACATTTTAGGGATCCATTAGGCGGTTTTATCCATCGAACCTGTTCTAAGTCAATAATGAGTTATTTGACAACTTAATCTATGCTATGGATATAATTAATGAGTTATTTGATTGAAGAAGAAAAAATTATCAGTCGACTATGGACATAATACATAATCAGTGAGTTATCTGATGAACTGGATCTGACAACTCACATTGTCCATTTAGAATTTTGCAGTGACGCAGATGTGGATATTTTTTTGATGGATTAATAATATTTTTAAAGAGTTAAGAATATTTTTTTGAAAAGTTCAGAAACAACTACAAGCATTTTCTAAAGTGTTTGAAATTATTTTCTAGAGGCTCAAAAATAACTTTTTGGAGGGTTTGGAAACATAGTCTGAAGGGTTCAAAAACCCTTCAAAAAAAATATTTTGAACCCTTCATAAATCAATTCTGATCCTTCAAAAAATGTTTCTGATCTCTTCCGAAAATAATTCTGAACCCATCAAAAAATATTTTATAATTTTAAAGGGTTCATAAACATGACAACTCACATTTGTCACTTTAAAATTTTGCAGTGACACCAGTTCCATTCTATTATTTAACCGGCTAGGTTGATTTGGATTATGTAATTGATTTTAGTAAAACTTTGACGTGTTAGACTTTAATACGTTAACAAGTTAAGAATTCATAAAATTTCTTGGAGAGCTCAGATTTTGGAGGGCTCATTGTCTAAAGGTTTTGAAAGCCCTTCTGATGAGAAAAATGCTCCAAACCCTTCGAAAACTAATTATGAACTCTTGAGACACTAGTTTATGTTTTTGGTGAAATTTCTCCGATGAGATTTCTTGTAACGTTTCTCTTTTTCTTAAATCTGTGCTTTATTTCAAAGTTAATGTATTCATAAACATAAGTCTTTATGAACACTTTTATGAGTCATTTAGACATTTAAGATTTTGGGAAATTGGAGTGTATAGCTACAAAATAAACAATAATTAAGTATCTAACAAAAAAAAAGTACCTCCATTATTTTTATAATATATACTATATTACCCCTAGTCTCCGGTTACCGAAAGAAAAAAAAATCTTCTTCTTTTACCAACTACCACCATTTTTCCTCTGATCTCCACCACTTTGCTTCCATCACCATTACAATACGATCAACACCAATTTCATAGCCAGTATAACCACTTCTATATCTATAATCTCTGCTTCTGAAATCTACAGACCACGATGGCGTTATGGTTGAGACGTTTTCGTTGTCATGTAAAGTCCCAGTTGTACTATGTTATTTGAATAATGTATACTATATTATTTCGTTTGTTATACTACTATATTGTAATAATGATTTATCTTATGTACTGTGTGCATATCTTGATATTTGGTTAGGGTTTATAGTTATTTTTAGTTTTTAGTGATTAGTGTTTTGGGTTTAGTTTATGAATGATTTGGATTGATTTTGGGGTAAACATTTTTTCTTTCTCTGTAATCATATACATTTCAAAATTCGTTTATTACTATTCTATTTTGATAATGATTTATATTATGTACTTTGTACATATTTGATATTTGGGTTAGGGTTTATATTTGCTTTAGGGTTTAATGATTAGCGTTTTGGGTTTATATTTCATTTTAGGGTTTAGTAATTAGTGTTTTGGGTTTATATTTATTTTTAAGGTTTAGTGATTAGCGTTTTGGGTTTATATTTCTTTTTAGGGTTTAGTGATTAATGTTTTGAGTTTATATTTATTTTTAGGGTTTAGTGACTAGTGTTTTGAGATTAGTTTATGAAAGGTTTGGATTGAATTTGGGGTAAGCAACGCCTCATTCCTTGCAATTATATACATTTCAAATTTGAACATTAATATGTTATGTTATTTCGTTTATTACTATTCTATTTTGATAATGTTTTCTATTATGAACTATACCATTTAGATTGTAATATTCTATTTACACTTGATGTCTTGCATTATTGCATTGTTTTATCTACTCTTTTGCATACCTTTTCATCATGTAGGTTAGGTTCTAGCCATGTTTAGGTTGCATTTTGCATACATGAGTCCCCTTTAGGTATTGGAGTTTCACATGGAAGCTTTGGAGACATTTGGGGTTCATTAGAGGCTCAAAAGAAGCAAAAGGAGTGATCTAGACCCGG